TGGCAGGTTGTAAAAGGATTCCTTCTGTGGCGGGTTACAAAAGAATTCATTGTGTGGCGGGTTACAAATGGATTCCCTCTGTCGAAAGATACTTGGAGGTAACAGCGAGAAAAATTGTAAAATTACTATGCTCTCACTGTTGTGTGTCGAATGCTGCGAGCACCTGTAAAAAAAAACACAACGTTTTCAGCCGCCAGAGCTCCAAAACGCTGTGGCTTACAACGTGTTTAAATAACTTCCGAAGCCGACAACATTGTCAAACACAGCGTTCTGGAGCTCTGGGTACTGAAAACGATATGAGTTCATAGTTGCTCGCAGCATTCAACACCAAAAAACGTGGAAAACACTGAGTTGTCAATTTGAACGGATTTTCATGTGTTGGTTTTTCTGTTTTCCCCTGGCTACCTCCATGTATCCCTCGGCAGACAAATCAATGTGTAACCCGCAACAGAAGGAATCCCTTTGTAACCCGCCACAAAAGGAATCCTTGTGCAATCCGCCACACAGGGAAACGACTTACAGCCACAAAATAAATAGGTTTCTAATCCGACGCAGAAGGATTTTTTGCAATTCGCCAAACAAGAAAACCTTGTCCAACCCGGCACAACAGGAATCTTCTTTTCTTGAAATAATTCGCCACACACGACATCCTTTTTGCAATCTGCCAGGAACTAACTTGTCAGCGGATTCGAAAGAGAGAGAGAGAGAGAGAGAAAAAAAAAAAAAAAAAAACAGAGACAGCGAGAGAGAGAGAGAGAGAGAAAGAGAAAGAGAGAGAGAGAGAAGGAAAACAAGACAGAAAACGACGTAGTACACACACACACGGTTTGGTAAACCTTACAGGGGGGGGGGGAGACGACGGTGGGTGGGGGCGGTGGGCGGGGGGTGAGACGACATTGGTGGAGGTGGAGAACGGCGGAAGGGGGGGGGGAGACGACGGTGGGTGGGGAGGGGAGACGACGGTGGGCTGGGGGGGGCGTGAGACGACGGTGGGCGGTGAGTAAGACGACGGTGGTGGAGGGTGAGACGACGGTGGGTCTGGGGGGGGGGGTAGTAGGTGGGTGGGGGTGAGACGACGGTGGTGTGGGGTGAGACGACGGTGGATGGGGGGGGGTGAGACGACGGTGGGTGGAGGGGGTGAGACGAAGGTGGGTGGGGGTGAGACGACGTTGGTGGGGGGTGAGGCGACGTCGGGTGGAGGTGGTGAGACGACGGTGGGTTGGGGGGGGTGAGACGACGGTGGGTAGGGGGGTGAGACGACGGTGGTGCGGGTGAGACCACGGTGGGTGGGGGGAGGGTGGGACGACAGTGGGAGGGGTGAGACGACTGTGGAGGGGTGTGGGACAACGGTGTGCAGGGCGAAAATGCAGAACACGATACCCCGTTCCGTCCGACATGGACTTCAGATTCGGCCGACACCGGCAAAAGACACCGAACCAACCCAGCAAGCCGCGAAAAAACAACATAACCGACCGATCGAAAACAATAAATATGAACAAACAAACCGAGAAAGCCACAAACTCCAACAGGCACAACACCATAAACCGCTGGAAACCCCAACATGAATCCGCAAACAGACACGCTAGAACTCTTCTCTAATAGATACCCCCCCCCCCAAAAAAAAAAAAAAAAAAAAAAAAACGCTGGGAACACGCAACAAGAATACGCTGAAAACCCATTCCCAAAAACCAAAAAACATATTTGAAAAACTGGCACCCACTACCAAGAACCGGAAACACAAAAACAATAATCAAATCCAAGAACCCGAAACACAGAAGGAAAAAAACAAAAAAGAGGAATCAATTCCAAGAATCCGAAACACACACACACACACACACACACACACACACACACACAACAACAACAACAACAACAACAACAACAACAACAACAACAACAACAACAACAACAACAACAACAACAACAACAACAACAACAACAAAAACGAACCAATTCCAAGAACCCGAAACACAAAAAACAAGTCCAATAGGAATCAACAACAAAAAACACTGGAATCCCATTCCAAGAACCCGAAACACAAAAAACGGACCACATAAAACAGGAGCCAACAAAGAAGCACGCTGGAACCCAATCCCAAGAACCCGAAACACAAAGACCAAAACCCAAAAAAGATGAAGTAACAAAAAACACGCTGAAATCACAAAACATAGCCAACATCAACATGATTAGCAACAAATTACGCTGAAATCACAACAACAACAAAACATCAACGGAATCAGCAACAAACACACGCTGGAGGCAAAAAAAGCCCAGAAGAAGCCACGAACCCCAGGAAAATAGTGTATGCAAAATCAGTGCTAGACACGTACAAGAGGGGGGGGGTCGCAAGAGGGGGGCGGGGCAAGAGGGTCAGACACGTCAAGATCTACCCCCCCTCTTGGAGTCATCTGGCGCCGAAAACGCTATAAGGAGCCTCCCAGAGTGGTGCAGTACCAACAGCATGATCGCCGACCCCTGACCAAACATATTCCGATGGCCGAGGCGACCATGCTGAGAGAATTTCTCGATACCGGCCGGATTTCTACACCCCGTAATGCAGTGGACCAGCTAGACTACGACATCCGCATGCGGCAGCACCCTCCGGATGGGTGCCCACATGTTCTGAGGTGAGTTGGGGGTTTGAAAATTAAGAGGCGTGCGCAGTCCATGCCACGCCCACGCACTCTCCGAAACCTAGCCCCGCCTTCCCCCTTAACTGAAAGCATGAAACATGTTCCCGGAAGCCTCTCTGGGAACATGTCTGGAGAATCGAGAATAGTGTTCCTGGAAGCCTCTGGGAACATGTCTGCAGGGGTCTCTGAGAGGCCCTCTTGAAATATGTGCTTTCCGCTGCCGTTTTGGCTGGCTCAGTCCTTGCTGCAGGAGTGTCGCGCGCTCCCACCCAGAAAACCGCATCATGCTTTCGCGGCTGCGCCGCAATATCCGCCGCCAGGCGCCGGCCCATGCAGAGCCCACGCTACCCAGTGCACTCCGCACTCCGCACTGGGGACCGTCAAAATTGGATCCGGGGCGAAAAACTGACACTGGGGAAGGGGTCGGGAGCTCTGGGGCCGCGCATTGAAGAGTCATGCTGGAGGACGTCTGGGGAACGAACGTCGACGATCAAGGTCTTCGGACGTGCTCAGCCCTGTCGGGGCCACCAGGGGGCTTCTCGTCGCCACGACAAGGTCCGCCGAGAGATTCTAGCCAGAATGCATGGGATGGGTCCCGAGGGTCGACTTTGACCACTAGAGGACGGAGGACCCACACCCCCTCGAGTCGTGCAAAGGCCACGACAAAAAATAAGCAACCTTCGGCCTCTGGGAGCTTTATCTGGGCCCTGGGACCGTAAAACAAACGGCCCGGGATGACAAACCAGTCCCGGGGAAAAGGTCGAGACCCCGGGGGGTCCACGGTGTGAAACATCACAGCGTCGGGGCTGGGGCTAAAGAAGGGCAGGGTTCCGTGACAATCGTTGGCCTCCCAGCAGAGAGGGGAGGGGGGGACCCAAACCTCCAGGGACATGAGAACATCGGGCCTGAGGTGCGTGGGCACTCTCAGCCCCTCAGGGCCGTCTTCGGGCCACGGGGCCGTCGGATAGGACCTGTGAACGCTCATAGACTCCATACGCCATCTGCCTCCTCATCTCGTCATCGCAGGCAAACGTCATCATCGTCATCATCATCATCATCATCATCATCATCATCATCATCATCATCATCATCATCATCATCATCATCATCATCATCATCATCATCATCATCATCATCATCATCATCATCATCATCATCATCATCATCATCATCATCATCATCATCATCATCATCATCATCGTCATCATCATCATCATCATCATCATCATCATCATCATCATCATCATCATCATCATCCTCATCCTCATCCTCATCCTCATCCTCATCATCATCATCCTCATCCTCATCATCATCAGAATCATCATCTGCATCATCACCAGCAGCAGAATCATCATCAGCATCAACATCATCATCATCATCATCATCATCATCATCATCATCATCATCATCATCATCAGCATCGTCATCAGCAGCAGCATCATCAGCATCATCATTATCAGCATCATCATCACCACCATCATAATCATCATCAGCAGCATCATTATCAGCATCGTCATCAGCAGCAGCATCATCATCCTGAGGTGGAGGAGGGAGACGGGCTCTATGGGGCTGAAATCAAATGAACAGAACATGCCACTTCGCTGATTTGAGCATGGGTTGCTACACTGGGGGGGAGAAAGGAAGGCACGCGATACCACACCGTGCATCTGCGGCAGCACACGCACTGAGAGTTGGAAGGAAGGAGTGCGGGCAGCCCGCCATCACAGGACCGTGCGAGAGAAGCTTGAAGCGGGGAACGGCAGAAACCGCAAACAGAAAGAGAAGACGCTGGCCACGAGTCTCCAAGGAAGGGGACACCCTTGGAGCGAGGGTGAGCGAGCCCCAAGGCCAAAAAGGGGGAGGCAAGCAAGGACGAAGCGGCATGAAAGGAGGAAAGTCAAAAGCTAACAGTTCCCATTTGGCCCGCTCAAGAGGCCCCGAACCCCCCAAAAAAACACATCTTGGGGGGACGGTTGCTTCCGCTGGCCTTCCGCCGGCTTCTGCCGAGTGCGAAATTCCAACCTCTCCATCCCTCGTAGGCGAGGCCACTGTTGGAGCGGTCCATTCGAACATAACTGAGGTGGGAGTGGCGGGGAGGGCCTGTGACTGCAACTCTGACGCCCCGACCCACCCAGACCTGCGGCGTCGAGCTTGTTTCACAACCTGACCCCCCAGAGGTATGAACCTTCTCCCGGGACCACTTTTTCATCCCGAGCCGTTTTTTTTGGCAGCCTGGGCCCAGTGAGGGCCCCCGGAGGCCGAAAATGTGCAAAAACCTGCCGCCGTGATTTCCTCCCACAGAGAAAGGAAGTCTTGATCGCCGCGCGCTCGCATCTTCACCCTGACCTCCCATCGAGAAGGGCACGCCTGGTGTCCTCCGAGGCCAAGTCCCTGTCCTTCAGCAGGGCCAGGGGGC